GATGGAGCTGTGGGTGGTACTGCGCAAGCCACCCATGATCCCTCAATGGGCATAGGCATCCTCTAGCTGTTCCCATGGAGGCCGCAGTAACGGGCAAAACCGGAACCGGATACCGCCAATGATGTATAAGGCTTATATTAAGTTACCTCTTTCTGAGTGAAGGGCATCACTTTCGGAGAGCGACAGACTGTATAGTTTAACGGATGACAATATATGTCTCGCTGCTGTTGCTATTTATGTCCATTTATATTGGACGCATTGAAAGCGTATCAAACGGAATGTGGAACGCCGAAGCTCCTTCAATTTATAGCAGATGATCAGCACGGAACACCTTTGGTTCCGGTGAGTATAAATTGGAGGAAATACCCATCTAGCATTTACTTGTGGTTGTTTTTCGCTTGACTGCTGTTAGTAGTGTGCAAACAAGAAACAATCAGTTGTTGCACCTCAAGGGTTATCTGAGAGGCATTTGACCCGAGAAATTCAAGCATGCAACGGTGTTGAGAAACATACTTCATTCAAGCTACCGGCGTTTTCGTAATAGTTGAACAAGTTTCCTTTCCATGACGTGTTTGGAAAAAGGTTGATGCATTTTATGGAGAACTCGACATTTATGAAGTTGAAGTTTCGGCTGCTTAGTCAGTTACACTGAGTAATTTTCGCACGGGTCCCGAGACTGTAGAACGGACATGCTAAGTCTCTGGGTCAAACCTCATAAACGCTGACGATGTCCGAGCAGAATAAATGTCTTCCTCGTACACAAATACAACCAAACTTAAGGACAGTCAAGTAAAACGGAGGTGCTTATAAATAGCTTTTAGTCAAGTAGGCGATAAAACTAAAAAGAGTAATTCCCTGTTTCAAGCCAGGTTTTGTAAAGAATTTAAAAGGTCTTCCGGTGTTATCTTGAATGACTTTAGGTTAGACGCAGAGGCTAACCACAACGAAGGTGTATAATGTATTGACTCAGTCGTGGAGATTTTCATCCTACCTCATGCCACATGTACCGTCTTTGCTTATTACTAACGGTTGTGTTTGCGTCTTAAAGATTGAGAAATAATTCCCGGGGATGACATCAGAAACAGAAAGTAGCGAACAAGCTTGTTTTCATGGCTTCATCATCAGGCTAATACAACCACAATAAAGCAAGTTAGAATAGACACGATGGTTTAAATTGAGTCACTGAAACAGAGTAACTAATCGATAAGTCTACGTGTTTGGTCTGATTGGTCAAGTGAATTGGCGTGACTGCCATTGTTAGTCGCGTTGATCTCAGGCCAAGGCAAGGCTAAAGTGTGGACGAGCTTTTTCTGTGCACATAGGTCCGGGTTATGGAGCCGAATTGCGATCGCCTCTGCTGTCGACAGCAGGCGACATCTGACTGCCCGTGTGAAACGTCCAGGGACACAGTAAATCGGTGTGAATGCGTCACGCGAATCGATTTGATGGTCGGAGTCAACTAGGTGCGACAACACTGCACTCGTTATATTCTTCCTCACGCCGCTATAGAGCCAAGCTGGGCAATGCTCTCGAGCCCTAATGGACAGTCGCCTGGTCGTTTTCCCGATATACCTTGCTCGACACGAGCAAGAGAAATTGTACACACAAAAGGAGGTCTGCGACCGAGGTATCCTGTCTTTAAGTTGTTGGCACACGAGCGGTGTTGAAGTGAAGCTTACGCGGAGATTAGCGGCAAAATACGTTCTTTCTGTTGCTAAGGAAAGTCTTCGGGTGGTCCGTTCCGCTATCGCGTCACCCTTAAATGGCAACGATAAGTATACCATCCGCTTCTCCACTGAAACGGGTTTGGGCTTTTGTACTCGTGGTTCCATGTGCTTCTGGATGAATTTCTCAGGGTACCCATTGCGCTCGAGTAGGTTTCGTATAAAACTCAGCTCATCTGAAAGCGTATCATCTGTACATATTCTCCTCGCTCTCTCCGTTAGGCAACGGACGAGGTTCCTTTTTTGACTTATCGGAACAAAGCTAGCGAAATGGATGTGCTGCCCACTCTAGGTTGCTTTTCTGGGCACCCTCCTCCGCATTGACCTATCTGATGCCCTTTTGATTTGGACATCTAAAAACGCCAACGTGTTATTACGCTCCAGCTCGATAGTGAAAGTTATATTGCTATGTGCAGTGTTAAACTGGGCCAACAGGTCCTCGACGCACATTCCATTATTCGCGATACAAAATATGTCGTCTACGTATCGACCGTAATAAACCAAGCTGTTGATGGATTTGTTCAGCTGGTTGCACTCCAATTTGATCATGAAGACGTCCGCGAGCAACGGTCCTAATGGTGAACCCATTGCCACCCCGTCTATTTGTCGATATAGCGTTCCATTAAACTGAAACTGAATGTTTCGTGTGCACATGAGTAGCAGTTGTCTCAGCCGGTCTAGTGGGATACCAACATTGATGTTGCGCAGCAGGATGAACTCGCACAGATAATCTATGGTCTCCTCCAAGGGAACATTGGTAAAAAGAGACACCACATCTAAGGAGAACATCTGTCGCCCAGCTAGCTCAATTTGTCTCACTGAGTCAAGAAAATCGAAGGTATCTTTGAGACTGTATCTAGCTATGGCTTTCCTGACTGGTTCCAACCGTTTGACGAGCCACTTGGCAGTTGAATGGTACGGTGAGTTACACATATCCAGTATCGGCCTTAGTGGTAGCCCTTCCTTGTGTACTTTGGGCAGGCCATACAATCTTGGAATTACTGTCCCACTCGGTCTGGTGTATTCAAATATATCTGAGTCGATTACATTCTCCTGCTTTAAGCAACGCAGGAGTTTCGTTATGGATCTCTCGATTGCCTGTGTCTTGTCATTCTCATTATCCACTCTACGAAATTTTGTCCCGTCAGAAAGAATGGCATACATCTTACTGATGTAGTCCGATCTGTCCATCAGAACAATCCCGGCTCCTTTATCCGGCCTAGACAACAGTATCTTATCGTTTCGCTTGAGTTCTTTAAGGGCGTCTAGATGTTCCTGCTTCAATAGATGCTTGGTACATGGTTTATAAGTTAGGTACTCGTAACAAGACACAGGCAATCGAGAGATCCATAACGAAACTCCTGCGTTGCTTAAAGCAGGAGAATGTAATCGACTCAGATATATTTGAATACACCAGACCGAGTGGGACAGTAATTCCAAGATTGTATGGCCTGCCCAAAGTACACAAGGAAGGGCTACCACTAAGGCCGATACTGGATATGTGTAACTCACCGTACCATTCAACTGCCAAGTGGCTCGTCAAACGGTTGGAACCAGTCAGGAAAGCCATAGCTAGATACAGTCTCAAAGATACCTTCGATTTTCTTGACTCAGTGAGACAAATTGAGCTAGCTGGGCGACAGATGTTCTCCTTAGATGTGGTGTCTCTTTTTACCAATGTTCCCTTGGAGGAGACCATAGATTATCTGTGCGAGTTCATCCTGCTGCGCAACATCAATGTTGGTATCCCACTAGACCGGCTGAGACAACTGCTACTCATGTGCACACGAAACATACAGTTTCAGTTTAATGGAACGCTATATCGACAAATAGACGGGGTGGCAATGGGTCCACCATTAGGACCGTTGCTCGCGGACGTCTTCATGAGCAAATTGGAGTGCAACCAACTGAACGAATCCATCAACAGCTTGGTTTATTACGGTCGATACGTAGACGACATATTTTGTATCGCGAATAATGGAATGTGCGTCGATGACCTATTGGCCCAGTTTAACACTGCACATAGCAATATAACTTTCACTATCGAGCTAGAACGTAATGACACGTTGGCATTTTTAGATGTCCAAATCAAAAGGGCATCAGATGGGTCAATGCGAAGGAGGGTGCACAGAAAAGCAACCTGGAATGGGCAGTACATCCATTTCGCTAGCTTTGTTCCGATAAGTCAAAAAAGGAACCTCGTCCGTTGCCTAACGGAGAGAGCGAGGAGAATATGTACAGATGATACGCTTTCAGATGAGCTGAGTTTTATACGAAACGTACTCGAGCGCAATGGGTACCCTGAGAAATTCATCCAGAGGCACATGGAACCACGAGTACAAAAGCCCAAACCCGTTTCAGTGGAGAAGCGGATGGTATACTTATCGTTGCCATTTAAGGGTGACGCGATAGCGGAACGGACCACCCGAAGACTTTCCTTAGCAACAGAAAAAACGTATTTTGCCGCTAATCTCCGCGTAAGCTTCACTTCAACACCGCTCGTGTGCCAACATCTTAAAGATTGCTTGGATGCATAACAGATGTGACCCTATGGTAACGATCTATATAACACGAAGTCCGAAGGAGCATTTTTAACTTCTCGGTGTGTGATTGGTTTGCGACGCGCAATCTCCACGTAGACTGTGATTTGCATTAAGTGGAACAATGGTCAATTCGATTAGAAGGATTGTCGCTGAAGAAACTGCACTCCACGAGATCTTTCAACCTTTTTCATCTCATGGACACTTGAACCGATTTCTCCGCTTCCTCTGAAGTACTGGTTATTGGAAGGGCTGCTTACCGGTTTCTTTAAACGGTTTCATAACGTAAAGGTCTTATTGTTATAGCAGTCGCGTTTAGCTATGTATGACACCAATCGAAAGTCATTTCTTTAAAACATTCCACAAGCGATTCATTTGAAAAATACTGCAAAATAAGAAATAAGTAAAATTTTTGACGTCAGCAAGCTGGTTCAATAACCTAAACAGCAGAGTAAACTGTTGAACCTATAATGTTTGTGAATTTAATCACCTATTTCATCAGAAATTGGCTGTTGAAGATATGTACGAATTTAGATTACAACCTATTCTTTTACTCTTAGATGTACTTACACCTTATCTTGCTAAAATTCATCGTAGATGTACAATAATACAAATGCTCTGCCGCACCTCCTTCAGAGATTTATCTGCCGTATAGCAATGAGCACAGTAATAATGATATCGGTTCTGTGAACCAGTGAATAAATTCACATGATGCTTATTTACTTACTTCTTATAGCGCCCTTCGGTGCAGCTATTTTTGGATTCGGTCTGATGGTTCTCGTAATTTGCCTCTTTGGATGTTGTGGAGCATGTTACAACAACGCCTTGTGCCTAAAAATTGTAAGTCTATCCTACTACGCGGACTGTGTAAATAAGCGGACATTCTAGATTTACCTTCATTATCCATTAAAAATGGCCTGCTGATCACGTTTGTTCCATTATTAACTATTCTGCATGCGTCATGCCACTCCGCTCTATGATTAGGTATAGTGTGCCCATTAATGCGACTTGTTGTTTTCAACAAAAGGTACCTACAGAAATCTCCAGATATGAAGCAATGGGATAGAAAATTGCTAACTTGTTATAGCTTTCTAGTATAACATTTAGAAATCACTCGCGGGAGGCGGATCAACTTGTATCAAAATACCCATGGGTAATTTGCCTTGTCCCACAGTACTGAGATCCGCGTGGCCGTGTCTGCAGTAACTAATAAAGAAGCGCATGATAAGTTACCTCTATAGGATGTGTCTCTTGACCGAAATGGACGGCTGACGTGGAATTGCCATTAAATAAGTCCACACGAAGTGGAAACTAAAATATTCGCAGCTTTTGCACAGTATGCGATCGTTCAAGCACAATAGCCTCGGTTACGTGAAGGCGGAAGCTGTGGCTGTCCTGTTTAATGTGGGATCCATAATGCAGTCCAATACGTATAATGATGAGTAAAATGATGCCAAATTTGCAGTCTAACAATCACAAGACATTCGACTCCGCACAAAGTTGAAAACTTGCCAAAATCATAAAAAGAAAGTGTAAAATGCTGCAAAGTTGGCCGATTTTTCAAAACCCTGAACGATACTCCAACGGCTCTGAGGCAATCGTCTGACCCCAAGTGTGGCAGGACTATGTTCACATTAGCCGGATGCTAATGATTGGTTGAAACTTGGGAATCAACCTTAGAGGCCATTGACAACTGTGGTGCAACGAGCTTGTATCCCCTCCTGAAGTTTGAAACATTTGATCGCAGTTGGTCTGAGAGCAATGACATCTGCAAACTAAGCGCACAACCGAATCGACGTCTTTGATCCCAGCGTTGTGGACATGTCTTCCTGTGTTTTACATAGTTGTGGATAACCTCCTCAACGGTGATGATTGACAAGTCATAGTAACTATGAACAATGTCAATTATTCAACATCTTACTCCTGAATTCGTTGCTTTCTTGATTAGGAGCCGAGTAATACGCAGGCGCGCGGTCGTAAACGCATTCTGTCGGAGGAATACCTAGATGCCATCCTGGAGTGGATCGTAAAAGACGCGACTCTCACACTACACGAAATTTCGAGTGCGATTACAGGTAGATATGGACAAGAACATTGCAAGGATGATGATCGCACTATACACGAATGACCGCCTGATAACTATGAAGAATACCTGTCAGATCCGCGAAGGAATGAACATTGAGCGAACCAAAAAGATATGGAGTTTGTTCAGTAGTTTCGCAAACGAAAGTGATGAGAAGTTTTTCATATAGATTGATAAAACAAACTTCAAAGATTACTGCAAAAGTCTGGGTAGCTGGGCGCCAGGAGAAGTGGGGGCCAGTTTCAGCGTCGCCAGCAGTAGTGGCCTCAATTTGTATTTGATCGGTGCGCTCACAATGGAAGAGCAATTGCCGACAATTGCCCAGTGATGGTCCTACGATGGTCCCCTATCTCCCGAATTGCTGCGAAGCACTTTTGACAAGATGAAGTTGGAGATTGAGGTTAGCAGGTTATCAAAATATGTCATAATGCGCCAGCAACAACAACGATATTACGGTTTATAAAAGCGTAAAATCACAGGATTCACATGTCCCCTAGGTTGTTAATAGACCATAGTGTAGGTGAAAAACTGGTCAAATCAAATACGCGTCTTTGAGGCCATAGCGTAGTGAAGAGTAGAACGTGGGTTATGGGAGGGAGAGAGCACGAGGCAAAACGAAATACTCAAATACTTAATACTCATTACACCTAACAATCAGATTGCTCGCCCCTCTGCACAGATGTACGTGTGTCAATATGGGTCAAAATTCCAATGAAGCTAGTTAACCTGAAGATCTCCAGAATATCCGTTCACGTAACAAAGTGTAAGGAGCTCAATGAGATATCCAATCGTTTGTTGAAAACAGCTGATTTGAGGGCACAGATAGTTGGGTTTGGAAGGACGTTCCAGGGTTGGTAGACAAAGAGGGAGAAATACATCTGGCGATAAGCTAAACTTATAATGATGGTGCGCACTTTTAGTGGACAAGCTCAATGTTACCACGCATGACATGGTGGCGCAATGCTATTTCCTCCAGTACATTGAAAGACATGTGATAAAGAGAGCACAGGCATACAACAGTGGACTCGGTGTAAGCACTTATGATTGATGGACTAATCCCCCTTTAAGGCAGATGAAACATATATGTAAATGATTAGGTGGACCACGTTCATCAGAAAAACGTGTACCTTAGCTACGTTTTTCGTTTTAAGTTGCTGGTCTCTGCGGCCATCATCTGAAGTGATCGCAGGCAAGGGACCTGTTGCATGCAATCTTGGTGCGTCGACCCAGTGTGCATAGAGTCCCTTCCTTGCACTAAGAGAATCTATGCGATATCGATTACAATATCAGTTTGATCGGTAACTTAGGTCCATTGTTTGTCTGTATTCTGCACGCCGTTAGTGGATCTGTGGTGCATCAAGGGTTAAATTCGACTTGACGTACTGTTTGGTTGGGCTGACGCGTCACCGCTAGAAGAGACAAGGTGGAGGATTCAGGCTTGATCAATTACAGCGAGTAGTTCGATGACCGTTTTTCAGCAAGTACGGAGAGTTCACACAGTAGTCACTTTTGCTACAAAAGCCTCAACCAATCCAATAATGCTTCGACGTGGCGAACGGGATAAGCAAATACTGAAGTCTTTCATTTCTTCAGGCCAGTGGAGTCTGTATTCCAGCAAATGTATGCTGTGATTATGTGAAAACCTGTTCGTCAAAGTCACATAAACAAAATACATTCTCACCTCTTCTCATTTGGTGTGTTTCCCCGATTTCTCGCCAACCTAACACGAGTAGTCTAGTTAACCAAATATTTGCAGTGGCGTCTCCTAATTTGTTTCGTAGTTTGGCATGCGTAACCTGGTACTAGCAGACATCCTGAAATCCATGGACACAAACAACTGCATAGTGCGTCTTATCCCTAGCTGTGTCTTGTTGTTTCAGGTAATATGGAGTGGGCTAAGCCACATTGATCACATCAATAGTGTGCGATAATAATATGTGCTCATACATGATTGGGAGCTATTTGTAAATACTTTTGTGAATAGATTTGGAAGCGCAATCTCAAGGTGGACCATTTCTACTGAGGAGCATTTTGGTCAGTTCGATCACTAAGGTCGTATTAATGAGTAGTAAGGGGATTTATTGGGTTTTATGATTCTTCGTCGCCTCTAGACTGCAGCAGACTGCTACCACGTATTCAGAGCTTTCCTGGATTTGTGGTAGCTACTTGGTTGAGTTTAGCTGTGACGAGGTTTCACACAACAATTATCATAGTTGAAGTGGATGGAGTTTGGGTGTTGCCCTCCGAAAAGCATGTACACCACGACGAGTTTGAACCTTATTTGGTCTCATTAACTGGAGATAATAGGCCTCAAATCCGCGTCATGATGGACGGCGCTTAGAACAACGGTTACTAATGAAAGTAAAATTACACTCCGAGGGAATGACGCAAGTTCTGTTGGATAACTGGTTAAAGATTCGAGCCAGGTTGCCAACAGAAATCCGGCTAAAGGCAGCAGGCGAACAGCCAAAAGTCGGATGCAATTCGATGGGACTTGCAAACGCTGCTAATTCTTTATCTGAACAGTCCAGCGGAGAGACCGGCACAACAGCACCCACGGCACACAATAGGACAGAACACAGCATAAGGGAAACCCCCGTTCAGGAACGCTCAGTTTGACTGAAATGCATAAACAAAAAATGATTAATGGCCAGCTGCCTAACGGCCGGCTTAGGACCTAACATAATGTTGACATCCATCAAAACACTCCTAATAACAAAACGCTATCTTTTATGTACACAAACGCCCAACGCCTTCTAAGCAACTTGGCCGAACTTAGAGAACTCCATGCCTCACAACCGTGGAACCTCTTCATGATTACAGAGACATGGTTAAACCTTGAGATAATCGATTCTGAGATCAACTTACCCGGTACGTCGCTGCTTTGGACCGATAGAACTGGGAGGGGTGGTGGTGTAATTCTTTATTACAATACAAACCTCCGATGTGAAGTTATCCATCACCCGGAAATCCGAGCTCCTGATTCGTTTTGGTACCGCCTATGGTTGCGAAACAAGGACACACGTCTAGTAGCCGTGATTTACCGCCCACCAAACTCAACGTCGGAAAAATACTCCAAACTGAATCAAGTCTTTCAGTTTGCTTCGGATAAGTCCTACACATTCTTTACCGTGCACAACATAGAAACGCCAGCAACCGACGTTATGCAATTTAAATCCTGCTTGCAACAGCTAATTGCTATCCAGCCACTGTACAACCAAGTAACCTCTCCCACCAGACTTTGAACTGTTAACAAGCTACCGATACTGGCTCTTGTTTTCACTAACGAAGAACTCATGTTTGACGCGATAGTTACCACTGGGTCGTAGTGATCATGATACTCTACTCTTTGACTATGTATACTGTACGGAGTATCCTGAAAGGAAGGATGATAAAGTGCCAACTGTCACGCACCATAATGTGTTATCTAAGCTTGTTAAGGATACATCTTGGACTTTCTTAACCGAATGCCCCCAGATATTGTCTGAGAAACCTTTACAATGACGTTTACCACATTGGTAGCTCACGTATCGAAACAGAAGTCCTTCCAACCTAAAAACAAGCATAGGTTATTTTTGAGGGGCAGAACGCATCAATGTATGCCCCTGAGGGATTCGGCATGGCGAGCTCACAAGGACTGCTTGAATGCCAAAACCAGAACTGCATACGTGACACATCGTAACTTCTGTGTGAAACTGATCCGCATTCGAAAGTTGAAGCGGGGGGTCCCAGCGCTAGTCATGACAGATGGATGCACGCGATCATCAATGGAAGCAGATGATCTCCTACGGCTTCATTAATCCCAAACATTAAAGCAGGTAACCAGCGCAAATGTTCTCCACATTTCTATTACGCCGCCGTCGGGTTTAGACAACATCACTTTCACTGCGGTTGCCATGTTGAAAAGGTTTTCATCTTTGCGTATCCATAGTTCTCCCGGAACCGACAACATCCGACCAAAGGTTCTGCAGGCGGTAGCTGGTGATCAAGCAGAACCACTGGCTATTTTCTATCAGCGATACCTAGAAGAGAACGATATTCCATCAGCATGGAAGCGAGAGGTCATCACTCCTATCCATAAAGGAGGTAGCCGCACTGACCCTACCAACTACTGTCCAACAACACTACTTCCCGTACTATCCAAATTGATGGAATCAGTCATCGCCGATGCGCTTATGCAGTATCTGGAAAGCCAAAACTTCATAGCTCCGGAGCAACATAGCTTTCGTCAAAAGCGTGCATGTAATACTAACCTATTAATTGCAAGTAATAGCTGGACTGAAGTTGTTGATGATGGAGCAGGAGTCGATGTCATCTACCTGGACTTTTCAAAAGCGTTTGGTCGCTTAGACCGTCGAATTCTTCTTCAGAAGCTTCGGAATTACGGCATTGGCAACCCAATCCTGAATTGGATTCGCAATTTGCTACACGAACGACAGCTAGAGGTGAGATTCCGAGAATCATTGTCTGATGCAATCGATGTGGTGTGTGGCGTACCACAAGGCTCAGTGCTTGGATCTCGTCTATTCCTGCGGTTCATTGAAGATTTGAAGAGAACAATTGCTTCCGATTTTCTATTTTTCGCTGAGTATCTCAAGATAAGGCGAAACATCAGAGGACTGGACGACCACGAACGGCTCCAGAGCGATCTTATTACGGTGTCGAACTGGTCAGTTCAAAACGCTTGCCATTTAACATAGACAAATGTCGCGTTGTACAATTACGCCAGAGCCATGGCTACACCTATTTACATAGGGCAACCGGATTGCAAACCACCTCCCATGAACTTGACCTTGGTGTGCTCGTACAGAGTGGGCTCAACTGTTAAAAACATGCTGATGTAGCTCGAATACCGACAACCAGCATGTCGGCATGCTGCGAAGGGCATTCGGGAGATTTGACCCATCAATCTTCCCAACGATACACAATTCTTGCTTGCGCCCACACGTTGAACACCCCATCCAAGCCTGGCAAACTTGATTGAAATGCGGCCTAGAGTCATTAGTGGCACCACAAAGAACAGCAACAAAGAATGTCGAGGGCCTGCGCCATCACTCTTACTGCCGAATGCTAAAATTGCTAGGAATTTTCAGCGGACGCCATCGAAAGCTGCGCGGCCATCACATATCAGCGTCGCAGATATTGAATGACCCCAACCGCGTATGCCGTCATTTGCTGAAAGTTAGCCACATCTCGCAGCTCAGGGGTAGCTGTTTAAAATTGAAGGAACGATATAGCCGTCTAGAGTATCGACGGAATTACTTTTCTCTTCGGGTTTGCCAACCCTGGAACGCACTCCCAGACTCAGTTGTACCCTCCCCTACCTTGTACGTTTGCAAAAAGCGATTAGATCTTGCTCTTAGCTCCCAACACTTTGTAACCTAAACTCCTCAATTGTGGATTACTCTAAGCATGCTCTTCTACAAGATTTATGTATCAAATGAAGCCAAGTGAGTGACCATATCTTACTTTTCTCACGCTTTATATCAAGGACCACTGCACCAAAGTGTATTTCTGAACGTTTACGCCCGATTTTTAATTTTACACGTATGTTACTTAACAAAGTATTAATCTCGGCAGAAGTTCCGTAGATGACCCACACATATTTTGATTTCATCGTATTCACCCCAGTCGTCCTACGGGACGTGCCAAACACCTGCTTTTTTCCTGTGATAAATCATTGTTCATTGTTCATAACTGATGGGCGGTCCACTTTCAAGTAGCCTTTGAGTGACTAATTTTCCATCGAAGTGTACTTCTAAAGGACTTTCCAATCAGCCATTAATCGTTGCGCCTTGCGTTGCCTGTCGTGGTCCGGTGACCGAAGGTATAGTGATTTCGGCTAACATTCCAATGCTTTTTGGTATTAGTCTTGCTATCTCCACCTGAAACGAAACATTAAGGTTGAAACGCGTCGTGGTGTGCAGTGTTTTCGGGTGGCCTACACCAGATTCCCCTAGTTTTATACAGTTGTCGTGTGATTAAACCACGTCAATATACACGAACTATATTTTGTGTAGCAGACGAGAGCACAAATACGAAAGAGAGCTTAATTTCATCAGTCTAACATCCTAGCGAATTCCTTCTATTGGTTATACCATCAGTCTTAAATTATCAATTGAATCACTATGTTGTTGTGTACCTTAAAGCAAACCCAACAACAGGCAGTCATTTAATAGATCTGTTTTATGTTACATCCTCTCATAACTCCGATTTTCAACATTTATACTTCCTCTGCCTATTTGTCACATAGTACACTGGCTTTTTGGTGACCATGACGTTGCTCGGAGTTGGAATGCTGATCTTCTACTACACCGACCGTACAACCGTAAGTGAAGGAAATGGTTATACAATCACCTATTGTTTATGCGTTTGGCTTTCACGAGATAGAACTTGTGAAGTTCAGGTCAAATATAACCTTTGGTGGTTAAGCAACGACATATGTTATCCTAAGTTGTTGCATAAAGCACTCAAGCTCTACAATTTCATCGAATACTGCTTCCTTGTCTAGCTGTAGAAGCTGCCTCAATCTGAGTCCGCAAGACTCATCATGACCAACACTGTTGTTTACCATGGATAACTATAGAGGTGTATAAAAATGCGAATCCTACTATGACAATATCGCTGCAATTGCAATCTAACGATAATTTCTCAACTAAACATGCGCTAACAAAACAGAGGTTAGGGTTACATTTCGTTGAAAATGATTCAGTCACTATTTCGTTTCTGGGGAGTAATCGGTTAACTTTTCAACTTTGTGGTGACATGTGTCGTATTGGCAATCAACCAAGTATTGCTCTGCTGCTAATTATGTATACATCGTTGTTTAGGTTGCTTGAACACTGACCATAAAATTAAACCATGTCAATTTTACGAAGGGTTTTAAAACAAGACACAGTTACAATCGCTAGCGATAGTGCTTCCATACGGCGTTTCCGGATTAGTAAGCTGCGTCATAAGTATACGGATCCAATGCTGATGCTCACGAATACTTCAAGTTCTTGGGTAGTAATTCGGCGATAGGGCATCCACAAGCATTTCTGCTGGTCTATGATAATATCCTTTCTAGTAGTCAAACATTTACCAGATCGTGCTCCACTCTACAGTAATTTGTGCTAGTATTTGCAACGGTTGTATCAATCATTTATCTTTATGGTGCCCAGTGCTACACCACCGTAAGCCTTCAGATATATTGGAGAGTTTCTACTCGAAAACTGTCAAGTATCGCACACAATATAATTCAGCAACGTTGTTCCATTTTCCAGTTGACTTTTTAAAGTGAAAATCGTACGGTGGGCTCGTACGTGTCTTTAAACAACTGCAGTTTAACGGTTAAATAATACACACTGGTGCATAAATGTCACCTGTTTACGCTTATGCAGTTGTTCACCTATTAAGTTTATGGTCAAAGGTATAGTTCATGTTCTAAATACACTGAAACGTTTATTCCGGTATACATTGATCCATTTAGTCGGTACAAGTGAGACAATATTAGTCTGTGAGACAAGGTTAATTCCGATGATTTGTGCTAAAGCAGCGCTCGCATAGGAAGCGGAAAAGGAGGATATCTTGCGGCGTGCTTCGTATAGCTGAGCGAAAGTCGATCATATTTGGCCTGAGCTCGATTCTACCATGTTATCAGCAGACGATTAATTCAACTGCGCAGGTCACAGCTATATGTTCTTCAAGGACACTTCCGACGGATTAGGGACGATGACGGCAATCCAGAATGGCTGGGCAGTTCATAGACACCATGGTGTGCTTATGGTGGAAGCCGGTTATTTACGATAGTTGTTCCCGCCATCCAATGGCCATGGAATGTTTAGCAGAAGTGCGTAAACCGACATACTGCGTATGACGCGGGTGCAGACGTATGAATATTTCGCAGACCTTATATGTGAGGATATGGCATGTTCGGCAGACCAGATGTTAGTTCAGGGAGCAGCTGAGTGCAAGCCTTAGAGCTTATCGATGGACAGGCTGGCAGCCACACTAGCCTTTTGGTCGTTGAGTGAGATGAGGGCAGACAGCCCCATTATGCTGTCCAACGATTGTCGGCTGTTAGCGGACTTTGCGCTGCGTTGTGAAGTCATGGCCAAACAGGCACTGGAACGATCGTTAGCTATCGGTGTGTCTCGGCGGTTGAAGCAAAACAGCTATGCGACATGCAAGTCGCAGTGAATCAATCCGTAACCCACTGCAGCCGGCTTGCGCAACCTGAAACGCACTGCGCACGTGACGGTACTTCGGCGAATCAGAAGTGGTGGATTAGGTGGGGGCGCTATTAGCCAACGCAAGGCTTGTCACTCTGCCCTTGAATTACTGTCACAAGTAACGAGCGCGAACAGACACTCCCATCGTTGACGTATCTGCAGTCGATTCTGCAATGTGCCTGTTGATAAGCGCGAGTTTATCATTCCACTGTATCGTGAATGCGGTTCAGACGCTGCAAAAACTGCGAGGCGATCCGACGCTTTGAAGGCAGGTAGGCGTCTTGTCACCGCCCAGTACGCGCGTAAACTTGTGAAGAAATTCGAGCAGACCGGAAGAAAACTTGGCTTGAGGACTTGAAGAAAACCGGACCGCATGGCATCATCTCGGACGACGTTCCAGCCTGTGATGTAAACTGTGAAGTAGTATTCACTACCATTTGGTAGCAGAAAGGAGGGCGCACCTACACCTTCTGCTGAAACGCCACGTGCTAACCTCAGCGACAAATTTGGTCACCGTTGGACCGGATGCGAAGGACCAATGGAGTGGCCTGCTTGCTCACCAGGTTTGAACCCCATGGATTTTTTCTAGGGGGCTATCTGAAGCGGCGAGTGCACAAAACAAGGCCGCATACATTAGACCAATTGAAAGTAAATATTGTGAACGAATGTGAAGCGACAACGAGAGGTAGATTGGAGAAGTGCTCGCCAACTACATCAAGCGGTTTCTGCACTGCAAGCCAGACGCCGGCGGACATTTAGAACATATGCTTCACTATTTATAGATGATCGTTCTAATCCATTTCTGTTAATATACTTATCCTTTCTACAAATGTGTTAACTACTAAATTGGTCCATTGGCAAATAGTTCTAATAATGCGTGCGGTCGGAGATAATTCTTAACGTTCAAGCTGTCGCTGAGCACTTCAACTCAGAAACGGTTCTGCGTTCCTTCTCATAGCACTTACGATGCGTTCAATTCGGACGAGCCACTTGTTTTGTACCATAATTTCAAATTGGCAAATATAAAATATCCTTCTATAGATGTGAGCTTTTGTGTGAGCAGTTTCGTGAGATTCCCGTGGCTATCCCAAAGCAAGCACAATACTAGGACCTTGCATTTGGGTTTCGGAAGGACAGCAAACCTCGATGGTGATGGATTTCAAGGTGCGTGCGAGACGATTCTGCTATCCGATCTGCATTAGTGTGCAAAACTTGAATTATGCCAGATGGAACAATTATCGATGCTGAACTAGAGCCATTGGGCCAACTATTTAGTCTTCAAGGAAACTATCAAACTAATAATTATGGAAACAGGTATCTGCTGGGTGTCTCTATGTGATTCCACAGTTCCACTGCGAAGAGCCTCAATTAATTAAATTAAAATTCCCTACTGATCAGTGCATCGAAATATATCCGCCCCCACAGTTTCTAAATGACATATCATACATAGCTAGTGTTAGTGGACATGGTGTCTTTCGGGACCAACCCTTCCTCTGCAACGTTCTTAACTTACATGGCAGTGGAGGATAAGTCGCATTATGTTGCTGTTAGCTTGCAACTTATGATTGTACGAAGCTGTCCCCCGTGGGCCAGTGGCATAAGCTGCTGACTGGCGGTTCAAGCCGCTGGTGGATCCGATGTATGCGCACTTCTGATAATGCAAACAGGCTGAAATTGTGGTCTAGTGCTCTTCCGGACGTGTGGACGACTATCTGATTTGTTTGTGGGCTGCAAAGAACCTCAATTGATAACATAGTGTGTAGTGCTTAGTAGTACGAAACTGCTGATTTATCTTGTTTGCTGATCATAATGTCAGTTTCATGCTAAATATTTTGAGTGCGTTTACCTTATCTGCTTATTGTGACATAGTCGAAATACGCAGTACGATTACTGCCACCGATAAAAAAATATAGAAATGTTACAATCACATATTTATATTACTGAAGTAAAATAGATGCATGTCGTTTCAGTACACTTTACTTTACTGTATTCAAAGCGGTGGGACGACTTGCATGTAATAATAAAGTCGACGGTTAATGTCAGTTAGCAATCTAGCTGAGGACTATATTTAGTTAACAGCTTTGGATAAAACTATATACCCCAGTCGCCCATTGACTTTAGTAGTGAGGTTGCTGCATTCCCGAAACAGTGGTTGTTTCTTGGGAGTTAAGGCTTCTGTCCCCGGCAGCCACTTTCCAGTGCCTATTAAAAACCCTTATCTTTAGCTACTTATGCCTTTTCAAAACACAATCCTTAAGCATTCACATAAAATCTATGTGCTCCGAGAAATAGGAATGTCTTCATTCAACGTTCATTTCCGCGTTGCTCGTTTCAATGTTGCGCAACGGTAGACCCACTAGTGGAGGCGGTGTAATTCCTTAGTACAATTTCCACCTCCTCACTCACCGCGTAAACCACCCTGGGGTCCAAACCGTATATCACTTTTGTTGTTATCTAAACCCAAAGGCAGAGCGGTATATGCATAGTAGTCATTGTATACCGTTCATTATTTTCCCCTTTATAAATGGATCAGGCGTTAGCCTCCGCTATGAAGAACCTACTGGCCACGTTCTCTGGGGGGCTTCAACCTGCGCGGCCTAGGAAATAAGCTCAGTGTCGATAAGCATCTCAATTCGTAACTACAAGTGCTACTCATTGTTTCACCGCAGCGCAATCATGTCACTTCCCCAAAGCGTTTCGGGACAGGAAGCAAACCGGACATCTTTGACCTCGATTTTACCAATGAGGAACTCATGATGGACGTAATAACAAGGTGCACTCATTTGTGCCGCTTTGATCATGCGACACTAGTGTTCCAGTACATGTAATACTCAAAGTATCCTAAAGAAACTACCCACGAATCTCATGTCGTGACCAACTATGATAACTTGTCCGATCTCATTGGTGTAAAAAGTTAGTCTTTCAGAGCCCAACGGTCCCCCGAGGTGATCTGAGTGGGATTTGTCAGCCGATTCAACATGGTCCTGGTAAACCTGGCTTAAACCAAAATCCGACGATCCAATAAGTTGAAGCTATTTCTAAGGAACAGTACTCAGCATTGACGGACTTGGCATGGATCGCCAATATAGCCCGTCCGAGAAAAGACACCTGGAAGTTCCATGCAACAAGAAGAAAACACTGCGTCTACCTCTTCCGGGACGATAAAATAAGGAACTAGCAAGACCTGATGATAAGATTTGGCTCTAACGCTCAGCTGATTTACAGATGTGTAAACAAACCTCGCATGGTTAAGTATGGAATTTCTGCTCTGTACACAGCATGGGGGTTAGCATAAAAGGCATTAGAGGCGACCAACATGCTTGCAAGACAATACGGCCGTACCTTCCAAAGGGTGAAGTCATCGGACATCCTGCCTACGCAGATCATGTCGGCATCCTGCCTTAACTAGTATCTTTTACAATAGCAACTGTACTGAAACGGCGGATATCCTTGTGCAAGTAGAGCTCGTGGGCTGTCGACGGCATTCGCTCGAAGCCTTTGAAAGATGCTGCAGTTAGTTTAACAAAGCTATTAGCGATACTTTTTCAACGATTGTTTAATGCGACGCAATTCCCAACGAGGTGAAGCAGGGTATCATCACTCAAACTACCAACATGTTAGCTGTGCAGAACCAGTAACGTATTGCCCGATAACATTACTTCCGGTGATCCCCATGAACATGGGTCCATTTTAATTGAAGTGCTCGTGGGTACCTGGAAAGTAACAAAATTATCCCTCCGGAGCAGCACGGATTTCGCCAGTATTCTGGAATCAGCGATCACTTTCCGGGTTGTACGGGAGACTTGCTGGCCAGAAGTCATCGCAATGTAAAAGTATGCAGCACGCTGTCCGAACCAATCAAAGTCCAGTGCTACGTAACTCAAGGCTCGATACTCAAGCACCGGCTCTTCCTGTTTTTCATAAAGGATATCAGAAGGGTGTTACATTAACAACCGCCTACTATCTGCCGATGATCTAAAGATATGGTGTCCCATCCTTACAATAGAGGATCACACAGACCTACAGGATGACCTGAACAAATTTCCATCGAAAACATGCTACAGTTCAACGCCACCAATTGAAACTTCTGAGCATACGCCATCAGAGTAATCAAAACTACCGGCCAGAGCCACTAAATCTACAGCGGGTTTCCCGTAAGTGCTCATGCAAGATGACATTGTTTATCTGAGGCAGACTGAAAAGGCATCAAACGAATTAATGCAGCACTTCGGTATTCTTTGTAGAGCGTTCCAGAGGTTGGACACGTCAGCGTTTCCGAAAATGCTTGGCGCGTAAGTGAGGCTGCACCCGAAATATGCGATCTAAGTGTGGCAACCCTGGCAGAAGCACCACCTCACTGCGCTCGATACAGCACAACGCAGGGCGACAAAGAATGTCATTGGATTGACCCGCCTGCTCTACTCTCTAAGACTGAAATTTCCCAAAATTTACAGCGGCCGTTATCGGAGTCTACGGGGAGATCTCATAATAAAGAATCAGATCTTGAGAAACTTAAACCACACATGCTACTCACTTTTGGAACTCACTCACTATATTTCTCTAAGGGGGTCATCAGTTTGAGCTGACCAAGCAGTACAGCCGACTAGACTGTCGATGATCCGATTGCTTTCTTTGTGTCACAGCACCAAAATGGCCTTTCCGGTGAATGCAATTAGTGCTCCCACCTAATCCCTATGCAAGAAATGCCTTGACAATAACCCTACACAGTTACATTACATGATATAGCCCATAATCATAGAATGACGGCAACAGTGCAGAACAAACAGTGGACGGTGCCACACTCATCCTAAATTCCAAACAGGAATGCTCGTACCTTTTCTACTTTAAACCCCTTGTGGAGTTATGTATCGCACGCGCAATTTTACTGACACTGTTAGTTTATTATGTAACTCTCTAGCGCTCATACGGGTCATGTCAAGCATTCGCTTTTACACTGGTCATAAACCATTGCTCCGCAGCTCCATATAGTTGTTTAGTCAGTTACACAAATCTGTCGTAAAATGTTTGCACATTTTTGGACTACTGATGCGTCTCAAAAGGGGCGACTGCATACAAATCACCACTTGCACTGTCATCATTACCCTTGTCACAGAGATCAGGTAACCTCAATAGAGCTAACAAGTGCAGTAACACTTATTAAATAAAACTTATCGAATAATTTAACCCTTATAGATTTGGTGCAAACCTAGCTGGATACCTGCTAACGTTGATTAGTGAGTTCGGCGCAAATGTCGCTTGTCAACCATGCCATAAAGCTGCTGAAACCAAAATAGGACTACGCGAGTGAGTGAGTTGCTTCGGCCAATCAAACACCATCCAATTGACAAGCTTGAAGGGAATTCCAGGCCCGAGTGGTTCTTGATGGCGCAGTTTTGATTCAACCTCCTGCTACCTCTACCTGGTGATAGTGGACCAATACAAAACTACAGTTGTCATGCAACGTCGCTAGAATGAGACATCCAACCATTTAATTTAATAACGTACTTGGCCATTCTACTATACGAGAAAATGTGAATCTGAAAACTGTCAGTATTAACTTACTTTTCTTCTTCCAATTACACCAGGTTTTTGCACTGACGGAGAAGCTTCTAAGACAAGCATTGGTACAATATGTTTCAGTCGAATCGTCTGACGTAAACAGTATGCTTTTCAACGTAATGATGCCGATGGTGAGTCACAGTTTTGCAGCTACTAAACAAACCAAGCAAAAATATTGTAGTATGTCGATGTGTGAAAAACGGTGGGCAGCTTATTAACTTCGGCCCCTTCATTGGCTGAGATTAAATACCCTAGCGTGTACGTCACCCAGAAATACTTGATTATTCCACCATTGATGTTGAAACTACAAAATCTTTGGTAGGATTGCAAAACTAGGTGATGAACTTGGCATCGGGATATGTGTTTGAGTAAACCTCTTCTGTACTCTTGACACAATGGTGAAAATTTCCTACCCATAAACTGGTATCCATTGGTTCTCCACTTTAAGACTTTTTATTTGCGGTCAACAATTAGATACCATGAGTGTTGGCGTGATAATGGAACATGTTATTACGATAGCTGACTTGTGTGCAACTGGTAATGGAACTAGCCGTGGCAGCCACAAGTTTGCACCGTATATAAACGACGCCATGTCTACAGAATACAATATTTCATGCCACATACAAATCACATCCAGGACAGTGGCTTCTACCTGGGGCTAGTCCGCATAGCAAACTCGATTTCGTCTTACAATTCCGTTAAGCAGATAAAACAGTCTGGGTGTAAGCCGGTTAAAGCAAGGAGAACGTGTGGACCAGAGAACACCTACAGACGGTGTAAGAGACAAAAAATGGAAATTGACCGATGTGAGACGTCGCGATCAAAGATCGTCCCCCAGTTACGTGGAATATGAACGATGGCTTGCCATACAAATAACAGATGCTGGTCGTTGTCCATACTTCTTTTTGTCTCTCAGACAACCAAACTACACATCTCACAAAAGAAACTTCGCACCAATTTATAAGTAAACAAATGAGGTTACTCCGCTAGAAAAACTGCAGTTTTCCTCACACATGCTTTAAGCAAATAAAGCTGTCTGATCACTGTTATTTGTAGTTGTGTAACACCTTTTGATTCCAGTTCATGCACTCACAGTGGTTGCCTCTTGTTATCATCAGTTCTAGCTTGCCTGCTGGATAGAAATCGCTTAGGTTGTTCTTCCTGTTAGGGCTAAGCAATCACAGCACTGACATTTACTGCTGTCTCTCCTATCTAAAACAGCATGGTAAATAATGTGCTCGTCCTGAGAATTCTGATGTCCCTAGCTTGGAGGTTTACTTAGGCCGCGTAGTTTATTTGTACTGACGCAGTTTACTACTTGCGCGGATAACGGTTCCGAGTGAAGAGTTGAAAAGCGTGAGAGCGAAAAATACAGAATAAAACAAACAGCATTTGAGGAAATCTTGTCCGCTTAAGTCGACCCTGTGCCAAAGTGGAACGCAGACACGGATCCTGCGTATTCTGCACCGATTAGTAAATCTAAATGCTGGATGACCATTCTAATAGCATACTCTAGGCTTTACTCACTACACTTGTAAACTTAACAGCATTCTCTATTCTGGGTTGCAACCGGGATTTTGGCAAGTTTTATCAACGAAATATTTTATCAGTTTCACACCTAGCATCTCTCTGCACAATTAGGCACAAGAGATTAAAACCTACACAACTGTTAGAGAATGTGATATGATGTGATTCCAGTCTTTACGATAACTCATGGCAGAGTGTTTACCAATCTGATATTTAGTAAATGCTCCACAGCAATTCTGTCACTCTCATGCACGTGGCTGCACCTCTATAAAGTTATATTAAATGATCAATAACTGACAAGTAAGTAACTATCATCACAAGATCACTGATTCAAATAATATCTTTAAGAAGCCGGTGAATAGCTGGAAAGGTCGCCGTAGTTTAATCGTTTGTCGGATCTACAACTGCAAACCTAACAGTTGACGTCACCACATAAATCTGTAGCTGGTATTGCATCACCCACGCACACACTATTCTGCCATCCGCACCAAGATAATAAGCACAATTTGTGTATAACTTTCTCTTCTAAAATCCCTTTATTACGTCCTCAATATATAGACTGTTGTGATTTCAGGCTGGTTAAACGCACTGTTCATGGTAATTATCCTTATTCTAATACCGACTTCGTTTCACCGACTGCTTTGAGTAGCTTAGCTAGCTGCCTAACCTATGTGAGAGCAGTTAGTAGGGTATAGGTGAATTTGTGGTAATGTAGTAATGCAGGCTTTGGTTACTATTTTGTTCTACAGCTTAATTGTTGTGGAGTCTCATCAGGACTTGATTTTGACAAAGCGAACAAGTTTGTACGAACGTGGACGATGGACGGCAATGATACCAGTGAGTGAGATCAGTACTAAGCTAGCCAGATTAACCGAGCATTTGGGCATTCCAAAAATATTCTTAGTTTGACCAACTGCTATACGGCTGAAGATAGAATTTTGCTTTCATGTTAACAAAGTAGAAGAACTTCTGTCATAGCGCACATATGATCATGCACTGGTGTTGAAGAAGCCACGCACAAAATTTATGCAGAGGAGAGTTGAGCTAGCCTTGATTAACTGCCTAAAAGCTTTTAGGTGCACCCTGAAAACTTTCTAAATATGGTGGCAATATCCACGATATGGTTAACAAGATGTATATGAGTGCTCGCCCAAAACATTAAAGACTGCAAATTTACCGGTACACGTTGACTTAGTCAAACAATGTACACAGGGATTAAGTAACAATATGTCAAGCAGTCGAATTGCGCCAGTAGATTATGGTTAAAGAAGCGTCGTCCGGACCGTTCTAACACATAAATTGTCGAGAGCGAGTGCGTTAGTCAGACTTACCCGATTGTTTGATTTATTAGAAAGAAAAAATTGCTTCAAATGCTTAAGAGGTTCAATTACTTTTACTCACAGACCATGTGCATCGGCATTAAGCAATAAATTAATAGGTAGAACGCAAAAGATAAAGTTCAAATGCTTATAAGTAGAGTCACACTTCCACTGTCCCGGATCTTAGCATAAATTTTAAGATCTAGGCATAAATGTGTTTATCTCAAAAAGCGGGTAATACACCGAACTATTTCAGGCACTTTGACGGTCCTTTGTATTTGCTCAATATAATACGATAATTATTGTACGCTTTTTGTTTATCAGTACATTTGGAGTTCCCCGTCCCCTGCTGTAAGATGAACTCTCGGTTTGAACCGATCAACAAAACATGCCCTGCTGTGTTTAATAGTGATAATTCTAACTACAATGTTGGATGCTGGGACAAGCTCTACCCATGGATGATAAGATACGGCAACTTTGGTGCAATATTCGGCATAGTGGTTTTATTACTCCAGGTTAGTGATCCGTTTCACCAACTTTTCAGCTGAGACAATAACTTTACCCGCTTTTCTGTGTTGCCAAACTGACCGGCTGTACTTAATGCGTTCAAAGTAGATAACATAATGTTGTTGTGCCAGCGTGTGTGCGCCGATGTCTATTTTAAGCGCTTAAAATTTTTCTATTTCCGTAATAGCATTCCTGATGCTGGATGCGCGCCTGCTGTAATTTTGGCGCCCATTACAGTTAAACCAAGGGTATCTAGTTTATTTTCACTATCAGAGTTACTGGTGCGTTGGAGAACAGTGAATTCTTTGAAAACACTTGTTGCAATATTGATATTTGCATCTCAACGTTGATCTTACTGACATTTTCACCCATCTGCGACATCGGAATTCGACACCCGCATTTACCTCGTATAGTGGAAATAGCTCAGGTTAATTGCTTTCCAAGTTAACTTCCGTGTATTCAAAGGTTATCATACTCGATAATATGTTTTCAATGTGTCTCACGTGGAAGTTTTGTTTTTGTATCAACTCGTACACCAAAGGTAATGGTACTCTGAAGACAAGTTTTTATATTTCACGCCTATCTTGACATGGGTGCTTTTAATCCGTACCTAGATTGAATTATCAGTCTCAAAAGTTTTCTTAAGTTTGTCACCTATTGTTGCTATATTCATCCATTACACGGAATCATATGTAGTGTCTGTTATGGGATTCCGATGGTCGTCTTATCAATACGTGCAGCAGGTAACATCACTGAGTGAAGGAAAGGCCTTGAGGCGTCAAGAAATGGTGTGGGTTCCACGTTTTACATTAAAAGCTCCAAAATAGGCAAATGGTTGCAATTACCTAGCACGTTTTACTGTAACGAAGAGACGCTTTTTTCATTTTGTAAAATTTTTAAAGCCGGTTGCCGTTCGGCATTGTTCTAAAGTCGAACAACCGTGTCTGCTTATACTTTGTCTAAGCGTACACTATAGTATGACGAGAACGGATCGATTTCTCACTCGTCAAATATGGTTATCTAGTTTTCCTGCATTTTGCTACTGTAGTTTACGAATACAAATTAGGCATTAAAGTGTACTAACGTGCATGCGTCTGTTCATGGATGATGTTTGTTTAGTTTCCGTAAAACGACGGTAATTACGTTCCCACTGACCTACATACATGGTTTGTTTTGAATGTGGAACTCTGGGTTTTGATTGTTTTCGGATATCACTGGCAACGTTGCAACAAAGCCTTCGGGTCATGGAGGCAAATTCGGATTCAATTCACCACCTAAACGAAGAGGAGGATGTAGTGCCTGCACATATCGCCTTTATAATTGTACTTTCCTATTCCTATTCGCAACATTTATTATACAGTTTGCTTTAATAAAGTCAATTGATACACTGTTCTTGGAATCTCGTTCCGCGTTGTCTACTGCATGGTTCTTCGTTGTGTTTGCTTGGTGTTGTGCTGCTAGCCCAAAAGATTAGGAACTATCACCTTTACCGAGCTACGCTATCCGCGGGAACTTACCACTATTTTGAGAATTACTCGAACCGGAAGCTTACCGAGGGTCAGTGGATGGTTCGGCTTTGACCAACCGAATACTGACTATAACTATTTTTGTAGTGTTTGCTCGCTCAATACAAGCACACTAATAATCACTGTCATCTGTGCCAAATGTGCCAAATGGGTTCAGCGATGTTAGCAACGATAAGGGTCATGCTGTAGTCCCAAATTTGTATCTGTGCATTAGTCATCGGTAAGCCAAACTGTGTCAAAAATTGCATTCGGTTGATTTTGATCACTTCTACCTTTTCGTAGCGCACACTTGGAAGGCAGGTTAAATTGTCGTTATCGCGTTAGGAATAAGCTAACAGTAGTAACATGTGTCACGTGTTAACGAGAAGTATCTAGCTACCACAAAGCAGAATCCACACCCAAATCAAATGATGTTGATAGGAAGGCTTCGAAACTTCCTCCGCCAAAATTGGCATCTACCTTATCATTTAATTATATCCTGACCCAATCAAATTTAGCATCGTTTGTAGTTTCTTGAGAAGAGCTTCTGCAAAAACACATACGAAACATTGGTTTAACTGTATCTTTAAGGACAAGGCAAACAGATGTGCGAAAGTTGGGTGTTACCCTATGAGATCAGCTAATAACATTGAATAAGATTGAATATATTCGGTCGCCCAGCGCATTATTTGCAGATGACCTGAAGATTCAGAGTGTTGTTGATACTCCCGGCGAGTGTGACGTCCTTCAGTAGGACCTCGACCGCCAATCCTAGTGGTGTACAGAAGTTGACCTACTGGTCAACCCGGCCAAGTCCTGGTTTATGAGCTCGGGGAGTGGTGGTAATGCGCGATTGTACACCCTCTTCAGCCACCCGCTGCATCCCACCTGTTCCGTAAAGGACCTAGGCGTACTCTCACGCTATGATCTGAAGTCTGTCGACATCACGAACAGACAGCACGCAAAAGGACTACACCTGCTTCGGGCACTTCGACGCAGCTTCTGCACTTGGCCTGAAGAGATTGCCAACCGTCTGTTCTCTTTCATAATAAGACCGGTTCTAGAGTACGGCTCATCCTCCTATTGCTCGATCAAAATAGATCAAGTACAGAGACTGAAACAGGTCCAGCACGTAGCTAGGCGGTGCATCCCCAGTATACTTGGGAGGTCGTACAAGGACAGATGTAAGATACTAGGGTATTCTACCCCGTCAATCGTCGGCTTCGAGTTGTGTTGCGGGCACATCAACTACCCCGGCCAAATGCACCACAAACGTTAGTGCATGCGCTGTGCTACACAGATTTCGATTCCTCCTTACAAAGTAGTGGGATCCAGCCACTCCGTGTCGGGGTCCAATTGGGCTAAAGTAAACAATGTTCTTACATAAACCATCAACCCGGTATGTTGATTCATGCACCCACAAATTGAAGCATTGTTCCAAATGTGATTCGGCCTTCGTGGGTCGTAAAGGTCCTAGAGGTCCGCCTCGTATTCTCTTGTCGCCTCTTGCGAGTAGTTGGGAATCACGTGGTCACGTGGTCGTGTGAGCATCCCTAGCCGCGTGTTTTTTGCGTCGAAGTCCAGCGCGTCTAGTCCGCCAGTCGTGTGCGCGTCGGTGTCCGTTTTCGAAGACAGCGTGTCACCCGGATACGCGTGTCAATAGGGTTCGTGCTCAGTTTGTCGTAACTCTCGTCTAACTTTAGGTGACCAGGTCTGCACAAATCCGGTACAATTTGCTCGCATTATGACAAACCAGATACTGTACTTGTTGAGGCCGCTGCTGCATGCTCGCGCACCAAACAACACACACGCGTACACTAGTACAAACTTGTGGTACCGGGTTCAAAGCGCATCTCTCACTCTATGCTTCGAGCGTCGAGTGCTGAAGTATGAAAACAAATTTCCGGAGACGCTAGTAGAGTCGAACTCGGTGTCGGAATTTAACAGATTCCTTACGCCCAGTTTGCAGACTGCAGGTATAGGGAGCGTATCGCACCCGGATAAGGTGTAGTGCAGCTACAATTTGCTGCCACCGTGCAGGATTCAGCGGCGTGATTTCGTGCATGTGCCGGATTCACCTACGATGGAGCAACACAGATTTTTATCTTCTCGCTCTCTAATCTCAGTATTCAGTATTGTCACTGGCGCGGGGTACATATATGTTCTTAACCCTATTAAGGGGATTTAATTCTAGTCAGCAGAATAAGGATGCATCAAAGCCCAAGAGAGGCAATGATCGAGCTAGAAGATGTTGAGCTAGAATTAATGCTGCGGTTGCTAGGATCCCCACTGAGTTGGAATATAGGTCTTAAGGAACAAGGCTTACACCTGACAACGGTGGCACTTATGCAGTCACCTTAAAAACGGACAAACTATTCAACTTGTATGGAAAGCCAACTTGTCTGCGGGTTAATGTTTATTATGACACAGTAGTGAATGCCATGATATATACGTATGGCTTATGGTACCATCTGTTAACATAATTTAGCACGAACGTCTGTCGTCTGTTAACGTGCGGTGCTCATATAGCACAGGAAATGCGACAGTGGAAGTTGGACTAGGGCCTATACGCTTTACACATTCGCACCATTTCCTTTGAAAGCAGTTTTCCTTAGTATAGCCATTATTTTTGCATACCAGTGAAGTGTCTATACAAATTCGTGATGTGCCCTCACTGCTGTTCTCTGTGTTGCTAGTACTATACAGAGACAAAATCAGTTACACAATTCCATTTGCTTATCGCAGTTAGATTTACATACTAATTTTTAATTGACCACAACAAATTTACATTCCTGGTAAGTAGTAGGATTTTAGTTGTAATTTTGTTAAGATTTTCATCCTAGTAGTTCACAAGCTACATACCAAAGCCTAGTCCGAAAAAGCACCAGAGGCGTTTCGCCTTATTAGGACACGTCAGTGGTGCGCATTCCCTAGGTCCTCTAAGGAGGATCGAACCTATGACCGCTAGAGGCGGATGCTAACTAACCAGCAGTTTAGGCCACGGAGTCATGGGAGACGTTAGCTGGGCTACATAGTTTGCAAACTAACGGGGATAGTGCACCACCGAGGGAATGCGCACCACTGACGAGCCCCAATAGGGCGAAACGCGTCTGGTGCCTTTCCGGTCTAGGCTCTGCTATGTAGCTTGTGAATTACTGGGAAGAAAACCTTAACCAAATTTACATTCAATGCTAATGACCTAAGCGTTTGACATGGAATGCTTATGAATGATAGTGGGCCGCTTCGTGTTCCGGTTTTGAGACTAGCTATCTGGCTCCATGTATAGAGAAACCAGTACACTGAATAGGATTTTCAGAGACGAGTGCCAGTTTACGCAGCAAACCCACCTCAACCATTAAGGGATGATTTGTTCACCTTTCATTTTGTGCAAATACCAGAACACTGAAACTCAACACTTGTACATACTAGTAGGGGAAACTCGGTTTCTCTACATTACTTGAAAATTTGTCTCGCCTTAGGTACATGACTTAAACCACACATTCAAATGATTATCATTACACTGGCAGTGGAACTTCATCTATACAGTTTTTATTACTGCAATAATTTAATAATACAGGAAAGCAAGTATATTTTCTTTTACTTATGGCCACTTTCTCAAGTCGGAAGCTCAATGTAATTGCATCCTTTAGTACGTCCAGGCCTTACCAAACGTATGAATACTAGCCGCGCTTAGCAGATTAACTTTCTGGGTTAGGTATATTATTCCGAGACCTTTTCGTTGGGGCTCACTGCCATGCACTTGCTAGAACTGTTTTTGCTTTTGTACGAAGTTAAATGAATAATTATAATCGTTCTACTTTCCAATGCATTTTCAAATAAGCCATGAACTAATTGCATAACCACAAGAAACAACCCATTGGTTGCTGCTCAATATTTACGTGGTGACGGAGCATCAAAATTTATTTGATTATTTAACTAATAAGTGTCCCCTGGTCTGTGAGGAAAACTGAAGAAAGTTATCCAGATCGCGCACATGCAAAACCGAACCTGGAAACACTGTAATTGCCTAATTGTGATATGAAGACAATGTACGTAATAAAGTTTATCATTACGCCGGTCATACTTTTAACTTCCTAACCAATGGAAACAGAATTATTTTGGCAATGCTCCAACCTGATATTGCGGTTTACATAAACATCTTTTTCTATTAAGATCAGATGCTCATTATGGAGTTAACCTTGCACATCTCAATGATAGAATGCGAGATCCATGAAGTTTTTGAAATCTTGTAATCTTCAAGAGAGTATTTGTTTTAGGTGATATGTTTGGCTACGTTTTTGGTAGGAGCATATTATAATATATTGTCGAACTAGAATGGCATGTTTGATTGTGATCTACTGGCTTTATCGTCCCTTTCGAAGTAGCAAACAGCCTGCTGATTCACTAACCTCCAACGCGAGTGTGTTTAATGTGTTCAACCTGAGTGCTCAACAGATACTACTATGTACTCCACTTCCAAAACCCGACTTCTGTAACGTATAGACAGTTCAAGGAGTAGTTACAGTACAAATATCATTAATTTTTGTTGGTAATGCGCACCTGTAACGTTAATTTGTTTTTAACCGTGCTTTCCAATGTTGACATTTTAGGTCGTACTCATAGTGATGTCCATTTTGACGCTCGCACTGAAGCAGATATAGTGGAATTCACCGCTGTGGAACGAAAGTGGAAACTACTTATTTCTTGAGACTGTAATCCGCAGTTATGCTACCGATTTCGATTTATAAAACTGTGCAATGACAACTGTTCATATTCAAGGTGGAAACTTCGGGAAAGTCGGGAAATTGTCGAATTCCACTGGCCTTGCAGATATCATGTATTTGTGCCTCTGTTTACTTACTTATTTTTACTTTACAATATTTCTGTTAACTAAATGTGCTTCATGACAATATGTCGTATAATAAAATCATTTTCTTCTCATTGCTGATCTGCAAAGGATTGTGGTAAGAAAATAACTACGACCTTCTTATATTTCAAGGGTCAAAGTATAAGGCTGGGTTACTAGTTGAAAAAAGCATTTGATCATCCATGATTTAACATTGAAAGAAGTATATTAAAGAATGAATGACTGCACGTATTTAATCATTAGAATACGCAGTATTGTGAAAATATCTGCTAACACATATTATTTACGTTTCAGGAGTATATACCTATTAACTCCTAAAAATGGTAGGGGATGCAAGCAGTTACACTTCACAGAGAGAGAGCAGGCATCGAACCCCGTACTACTGGGATATTGCATGGCATCTATATCATTGTAGCCACCCATACAGGACGAGCAAGGCTTCGCTAAACGGATAACGAAGGCGTCAAAGGTCATATTGTGGTCTTCGTTGCGTGATGGCTTTGCGACGCGTAATCTCAACATCGACCAAGATTCCCATTAAAGTGAACCTTAGCCGGTTCGATCACTAGAAGACGGAAATTGGATGTTGCCTGCGAGGAAACACTGCACACCACGACGCATTTCCTCCTTGTTCAATCTCATCAAGTTCCAGACATGCTATACTCACCTGCTGCAATCATACAAAATCGAAACGCGTCGTGGTGCGCAGTGTTTTCAAGTGAGCAACACCCACTTTCAAACCATATGAACTGATTCGTGATTAGGGTATACGGTAGAACATAGCACAATAAGTAGTACAAAGAATAAAACAATGGAATCTCTAGAGGATGTAAAAGCTACCTGGTACCAAAAGCCACCCAAGTAGCTTGCCTCCAAAAAATATAGTATTGCGGTGTGCTGTTCCCATAGCAACGGACTGAGCAATGCTTTGCAAATCAATTGGAACACATAAACAAGGAAATTATTTATAGGCACATTGTAATGGAGTTCAAATGATAAAATATCGTGAATAGGAACTGTGCTCCATCTCTAGCACGCCAATGGAATTGTGCTAAATTCCAAAAGATAACACGTTGCCAAAATGCAAAGTTGCTGGGATCAATATCAAGCAAATTGTTATGCTGGATACTCGAAAAGGTGTTTTGTACACCTTTAACTTCGTTTGTTTGGTATTGAAGACTAGCTCAGAGTTGTTATTTATGAGGTTACCAAGCAGGCGTAATATAATTTACACCTAAATTCCACAAAACGTATCGAGAATAATGGGCAAGGAAAATATGATGAGTTGGTAGACGACAAATTGGTGTAGTGTCGGAGTTAGTTGCAGAATGTTCTAGAGTATGCACTTTTTTCTTTCTAATCACAAGTTCTTCCCTAGCAGCCCTATTGCAGTTGGTCGTAAACCTGGTTAGTTTTCCTTATAAAGGTCACAGCAGTGGAGCATAGATACCAGGGAACCTGATAAACTGTAATGCTGGCTAAGTAATCTTGGTCCTGTCCGAGAGATTACTCGGAGAAGATCTAAACAAATGCAATACACTTTTTAGTATTAATCTGCTGATTGGCATGCGTTTTTGGATGTAGTGTCTCATTTACTATAGCTAACAACAAAGCATAGCCAGTTGTTGCAATCTGCTTGTCATATGCTTGTTAAACAGCTAAAAACTAATGCTAACGTACTAATTTCCAGCCGAGTCAATTAAATAACGAGCATTTAATACCCGCCATGGCTGGATATTCGGCCGTGACGCAATGCTTTAAACAGGATAAAATATTGAATTAAAGGCAACAGGACAATAGCAACATGGTATGCTCAATGAAAAACATATCCTCACTGGCAAACATTACTAGGCAGTACTTGAATAATAGTATGTTGGTCAAATAGCAATTTAGCTGAATGGGAAATGACAAACGAATCATAAATTATCGGGTCGGCATATATTTCTCTGTAGTTTTGTCTGGTCGACGAGTGCACTTTGAAGTGGATACCTAATTTCAATGAGTTTTTTGGAAGCAAATCCAGTGCATGAATTTACGTGCGCATATACAATGGTTTTTGCCGAATTTGGCTTTGGAATACCAGTACAACGAGACAAGTACTTTAGGGACCTGTCAGGCCGCTTGAAATGTTTGCGGACTAGGCCTGGAGAAATCACAGGGGAGCAATAAATGCAGTGTGCTAGAATGTACGCAGCCATAAACTTCCGAATCAAATCACATGGTGCGCAGAATGATTGCAGTTGAGTGACTTAAGATGAAAGTCGTCTGCGTGGTGAAATATGTGGTTCACTTGGGTTGACCACGACAAATCAGGGCTCACTCTAACCCCAAGCTACTTCACCGGCATACAGATGTTCAAACTAACAGCTGCCATCTGAAGTTCGGAACATTCCGTGACAAGTTGCTTGTGCTGGGTTGCGTTAGTAAGTGAGACCCGAATATCATCATGCTTGGACGCGTTCATCGCCGATAATAACGCCAATAGCATATGTAGCCTCATGGTTTCTTATAGGACAGATATAGAGCTAATATAAGACGATAACAGGAATGGCGACGGAATAGGTTTTGAAGGATAATGGAGGCCGTGGTAAGTGGATGGGAGATTTCACTGCCAAACCTGGGGAGCTGAGTATGTTTGACGAAAGATTCCTTTAGCAGGGATACAAACAGCAACAGCAATCTGTAGTTAACACAGGCGAAACTGTTGTTGTATTCGAGTAAGCAGACACGTGTGGATTTGCGCCAACTGTGCAGCGAAGACAACACGGAAGGCACTAGACAACCGATTGTTTGTGTGCATATTTAACCTCTGTACGAAAACTGAACTGAGCCATCCAAACGATACCGGGCCAGAAATTTTCCAGCTAACTTTCACAAAGACGTTTAAAGCGACTGAGTTGGGTACAATAGGCCGATATTTACCCGACCCCTACTTCCGGACTGGCACTATGCTTGCAATCGTCCAACCATCTGCAATGTTCCCTTTTTTAGACACATTATGTATAACTCAGCGAGAGGATGGGCTAAGGAATCGGCACACTGCTTGAGGATGACAGGAGCCAGATTGTTAATTCTGCATGTCTTGCCTGAGTGCAGCTGGTTAGCTTCATTTGCAGTGATGCAACATCGACAGGAGGCAGTGAATCCGTAGACCACTGAAAACGTTCGGATGTAGATTCAGAGAAGGGTCACTGTTGGTGCAGCAGGAGCTGCGTTTTAATTCTTATACGTCTACATAAGAACTTGTGTTTGGACGAAGGACTGCGCCAAGCAGTTTTATCATCCGCCAAACGTCATGACAAATATGGTTTTCAAGATATGTTTGACATCTGCATACTTGAGGCGGTTCAATTCCTCCTCTACACGAGCCGAAAGAGAATTCACTAAAGCACGATCTTTGTTGTTGAAAGCTATTTGCTTGTGCCTGCGAAGATGCTGGAGGTTGGGTGTAGCAAAACAATCCGCACGGATGAAGATGGTTACTGCCGAGCAGCAGCGATTCCAAATTTGGTGGATTCTTCTCAATATATTCCTAATTGATGGAATAACGTTGTGATGTTGGGTGGAATTACAACTATCTCAGCATCTCGCGGGTACACATCCTCATGGTACTGACTGCATAAAGAAGCTTAGGCGAGTAGAAGAATGCGTTTCCGGTAGTATCGTCTAAAGCGTGTGCGTCAGTAATCCATTTAAAGAAACAAATTACAGTACGGCCAAATTGGAACGCCCCGCCTATCAGGTTTTGAAAAAGAGCATAAAAGGTGACATTCTGGACATTACACGAGTCCCACTAAAGAATGCATGATCAGTTTTGTACAATCGGATATGCGCAAATTGCTGTTTGATCAACCACTACTCTTGGCAAGTGTATTTGATGAGGTTCTCGAGATCCAGGATATGAGATGCAGTTGTGGTAATGTTCACTTGTTGAAATAGCGAATTGTTTTGTAAATACGAAAGAGTTGATGGTCGCGAATAATGATTTAAATATTCATCGTAAGCAAATGTGAAAGCAGAGATTCAAATTGTGTTTCGGTCAGTTGGATTGGTTTGACTTCGAAATGATTGCTTGCGGCGCTATCCACAGTCAACTGGTGTCCATTTTACATACCATCAAAGTAAAACCCGGCAATGAAATCATACGATAATTCCTAGGCGCTGCACGAAGCAATAGCGCTTACGGGTGTGTCTACGGTTTGATTTAATGCACCCGTTGTCTGAACGTAAGTTGACACGCAGCCCCATTCCTCACATAGCAGTTTGTCCGTCGATCTAGCACAAGTTACTTCCGAGCACGGGTGTTAATAAATAATAAGTATATACACCATTTGCCTCCGCGTTCTGCAAGGCATGGTTGGCTTAACCGATTAACCGCACCGTAGACAGCAGCGTTCGCCGAGCATTTGTTTCAGTTCAAATAAGCACGCATTTACATTTACCCTTTCGTATACATTCCTTTACTTGAGTGAGTACAAAATTCATTTATCGGCAAGGTTACAAAACCTTAAATTGCTAAGATTTTTCTCAATTCAAATTGATTTAGGCAACTGGCAAATTCCACTCCTGTGTTTACGATGGCAGAGTTAAACGTATACTTACAGAATGCATTGATTTCAGCATAGTTGCTACCAATGGATAACCGCCGTACAAATGTAACTAGTGTTTGGAATTCCTGTGGTTGACTAGAGTTCTATGAGAAGCTAATTGCTGACTTCCACTACTGGTTCAACTATTGCGATTGCATGGTATCCGGGATTTCGTCCACCCTTCGTTTGGTCAAATTGGCAATGAGGATGTAAGCAATTTTGTATGAAATTGCGGCCGCATCGCTGACTACTATCAGCATTGGCTATTGAGTCAACACTGTGTGTAACAGGGTTGTCAATATTGTTTGCACAATACTGCTTTTCTTATTATGCCATGTTTTGAATTGTCCATAATCGGTCGAATGGACTTCGGCAGACCAACTGTCTCGTAAATACAATGATGGAACAAAACGACTGCCCAATTATTTGCATTTTGAGCGTGTGATTCGAGCCGGAAGATGTGTTGTGGTGGTTTACATTTTTGCGTCTC